CGAAAATTTCTCATCTGCGTCAGTTTTCTCTCTTCATTTCCCTTTGCAGCGCCACCAGCTTATTTTTCTACCGCCTCCATAAGCTATCCCTGTTCTCAACTCAGGATCCGCCTTTCCCTGAGCCAACGCTGGGCTTTTGCCTTTAAGGGCTCGTGTTTTGCTTTGCTAAATCCTCCTGCCCTAATTCCAGCCAGCCAGCCAGCTCGGATCCTGCTTCCCTCCCACGTCCCCTCTGTCACAGCAGAGCTTCTTGGAGCCCCCAGCCCAGCTCCCCGTGCCCTCGGACAGTCTCCCCAGACCCCTGCACCTCCCCTGCACCCGGGGAGGAAGAGCACTGGGAGCCATGGGAAGGAAGTGGTTTTCAGGGCGGGGATGGAGCAAAGGAAACTTTCGGAGCCCCTCCGCCCAAACAGCAGCATCCCGAGCAGATTTCCTTCCTGCCTCACCCCGCCAAATAACCACCAGCGCCAGATTGCTGGCAGCTGTATGCTCACACTGCTTCTCCTGGCGGCTGCCACGCCAGGCTCACAGCCTGCTTGGGCTCTTTCCCCTCTCTGGCAACCATCACTCTGTGGGATCTCTGTGGATGCCAGGATGGTCTCTGCAGGGAGGACCCTGCTGTGCCAGGGCAGGGCTGGGCAGCCAAGCACCCAAGGGACAGGCGTGCTCCTTGCAGGGACAGCAGTGCCACTGTGTGCTCCTAGTGTAAGGGGCCAAGTGTAAGGTACCCAGCTGGCAGGATCATGCTCCAGGCCAGGGACAGGAGGGAGGCAAGTCCTCAGGGCCCCCCTCAGCCCTTACCAACAGCCGGGGCATCGTACTCATCCCCAAGCAGGATCTCTGGTGCCGAGTAGGCCAGGGAGCCGCAGCTGGTGGTGAGCATCTTGCCAGGCTGGAAGCGGTTGCTGAAGCCAAAGTCGGTGAGTTTGACCACCCCTTGCTCCTGGAAGAAGACCACGTTCTCGGGCTTGAGGTCGCGATGCACCACGTGGAGCTTGTGGCAATAGGAGATGGCATGGACGATCTGGGCAAAGTAGTGCTTGGCCCGCGGCTCGGCCAGGCCGCCCTCGTGCCGCATGATGTGGTCAAACATGTCCCCACCATCGCCCAGCTCCAGGATGAGGTACAGCTTGGCGTGGGTGTCGATGACCTCGTAGAGGCGCACCACGTTGGGGTGCTGCACCAGCTTCATGCAGCGCACCTCCTGCAGGAGCTGCCCCGCCGCCTCCCCCGCCAGCTTGCTCTTGTCGATCACCTTGACGGCCACGCGCTGCCCAGTGAAGACGTGCCGGGCCAGCTTCACCACGGCAAAGTGGCCCTTGCCCAGCGTGCGCTCCAGGTCGTACAGCCCCGCGATCTTGGCCTCGCCGCAGCCCTGCGCCCCGGCCATGGCGGTGCCCTCAGGTGGGGACAGGCATCAGGCAGGCGCTGTGGGATGGAGGAGATGCTGAGCAGTGCGGGGTGAGGGATGGGGTGCTCCCAAACACCAGGTGCCCCCAGCACCACTGACACCAGCACTGCCAGGGCATCAGGTCCCCAGCAGCCTGGGCACCCTGACACTCTACCTCCCAGTCCCCATCCCAGGACTTAAACCCCCCCATCTGTATCCCCACGTTCAGTTCCTAGTACTCTGGGAATCTCAATACTTCCATCTTCCATCTCCTAGGACATCCCATGATCCCCATGTCTGGGTCCCCAACATCTTGAGCACTCCAACACTCCCTTTTCAATTCCCAGCATCCTGGACATCCCGATACATCCCTCGATTTCCCAGCACCCCAGGACATCCTGACACCCTCTCCTCCAGAACTGCAGCACTCTGGGCACCCCAATACTCCTGCCTCCAGTCCCTCATCACCCTGAGCAGCTCCATACTCCTGCTCTCCTGGTTCCCTGAGCATCCTGAGCACTTCATACCCCTACCTCTAAATTGCCAGCACCCCTGTCACCCCACACTCCCAGACCACAGCATCCTGGGCACCCCAATAATATCAACTTCCAGATATTCGGCATCCTGGCTACCCCAATATGCTCACCTCCACTATTAGCACATCTGCGCACCCCCACACCTCCATCCCCAGTCCCCAGCACTCCGGGCCGCCCCCATAACGCCAACCTTCAGCTCTCCAGCACCCCTGTCACTCCTGTATCCCCATCTCCAATCCCCAACATCCGTGCCACCCCATGACCTCAGCACCCTGGGCACCCCCACGCTCCCCCTCTAGCGCCCCGGGCACCCCGATACCCACCCCTGTCACCCGGTGCGCCCCGGCGGAGCCGCACTCGCTGGGGCGCGGAGCTGCGACCGCCGGGGCTGCGGTGCCCGGGCGCGCCCGCCCCGCTGACGTCAGGGCGGCTTCGGGATCGCGCCTTAAAGGGGCCGGCCCGGCGGGGCTGCGGCCGGGGCGATGCTCATCGCACCTCCGGAGAGGCAGCCCCGGGCCCGGCTCGTTACTGCCTGCCTGGGGTAGCGGGGACTCGGTTGGCCCTAGCGGTAACGAGGGCTGGTGATGAGCTAAACGAGCCGCCCGCCTGCCTGGATGCTTCCAGGAGGAGAGGGAGAGCCCCCAGCCCGGGCTTGTCTCCGGAGGGTCCCGCCGTTGTGGGCTCCTGCCCGGGATGCCCGCTCACGGGCATCTCTGCTGTGCCACTAACCCATTCCACCATCCGCTCCCTCCCTCGCTGGAGCCTGGAGCACCGAGCCGGGAGCGCAGCCCTGGCCCCCCTTTCCCCCTCGCTTTAAGCCGGTCTTTTCCTGGAAGCGGCCGCCGAGCGGCCGGCCGCCTCATTTAGCTCGTTACTGGCCATCGGGATGCGCACAAAGCAGATGTTGCTCCTGCAGATTAAAAAGCTCTCAGCGCGGCCGCCCTCGTTCCCGCTAATGCCTTCCCAGAAGTCCTGGCCCGCGGCCCCGGCGGCTGCAAACAGCCCCTAATGAGCGGTGCCGAGCGCTCCGTGCGGGGGCTGCGGCCAGCGCGGCCCCGGCAGCGCCGACTGCGGGCCCGGGCTCCCCAGGGCTGGGGAACGGGGGAGCCGGGGCTGGACGGGACACCCGGCACCCACCTGCGCCCCGGGAATGGAAGGGGCTGCCAAACCTGCCTCTCACCCAAGGTGACTCTGTCCCAGCATGTGGGGTGCAGGAGGCATCCAGGTGCTGTGGCCGGGGATCCTGACTGGGTGTTGTGCATTGGGGACCCAGATGGGTGCCGAGTGCTTCCAGCAGCTACGCACAGCTGGAGAAAATGACACATGGCAGATGAGCTCCTCACCGGTCCTGGGCCTGCTCAGCCTGTCCCTCAAATCCAGCAGGAATCTGATCATGCCAGGACAGGGGATGCAGGAGCAGAGGAAGCCTGCCAAGAGCCCCAGAGGTGGTGCTGCAGCCAGGAGCAGTGGCTCATGCTCTGCTGAGGACGGGTTGGGAGGCCGGGGGCGTCCTCCTGGTCTTGGATGAGCCTGAGCAGAGCCTGGGCTGTCAGCCTTCTCTGCAGAAGATGTCAGAAGCTGCTGAACCCTTCCTGTTATGTCTTATTCCCCCAATTCCTTGCAGGGCCGAAGCCACTCAAGGCCACAAGAGTTCCCCAAAGGAGCCTGGCTCTGGGGAGATGAAGGTTTTCCAAACAAGACACAAGTAAAAGATGCAGTTAGCACAGGTGGAAGCCTGGAGAATCTGCAGATGTATGTGGTCAGGAGCTGGAGGATTTCTGAGGCTCTGCACCATGAGTGGATGCTTGCCAGGAGATACAGATAGGTAACATTCCATTTGAAAACCAGTCAAGCTTGGCATGGTTTTGGTGAGGAGATTGTAGCGGTGTTATTTCTGTATTTAGGAACTAGGAGATGTCCCCAGGCTTAGTGCTGGAAAGGGAAGTGGGGATCACTTCCAAAAAACCTGTGAGTTTGGAGCTAACAGGGACTGTTCCTTCCTGCAGCTGTGCAAGGCACAAAGCAGGAGCCCCCCTCCCATGCATCACCCCACTGGCTGCCTCTCCATCCAGACAAAGCCCATTTTCCAGAGACTCCCACCTACCTGGTAGTTAGCAAAGTCATGTGGCCACAGCACTTCATTAATAAAGAGCTGATATAAATGCCAGTAAACATGTGGGGAGGAGGACACTGAGGCAGAGAGCGGGAGCAGCGCTTCCAGCGAGCTCAGTGGAGCAGCGACAGCAGCGCCCTCTCTGCTGGAGAGGTCAGTGCTTGGCATGGGAGGGGTCCTGGGGGCGTGTGGGATGTGACTCCACAGCTGGGGGGCTCCCCACAGTGCAGGGGGGTCTCTCCCAGTAAAGAGCTGGGTGGTTTTGTGGGATGGAGAGATGAGGAGGGGCCAGCACTGGGCTGCTGGAGCCAGGTTTGGAACCTCAAGGCTGCCCAAGCAGCAGGAACAGGGTTTCCAAGGATTTGGCTGATATTTGGTGGATACCACCTACGAGACCGTTTACTTTTGCTCCCTAAGAGGTCACTTACTTTTTAGAGCTTTCAGGCCCCCAAAGCCCACAGCCTGGCCTTGCAGCTTCTCCTGTCCCCCAGCTGTGTGTGCTGTGGTCCATCTCCTGTCAGGCACTCAGATTCTAGTGGCACTTCCAGGCTCAGAGCCTGGCAGGAGCCATGTCACATGTTTTGGCCACATGCTGTGCACCTCAGTGGTCTGGTGGCTGCTGTGTGTCAAGTAGGAGAACCTGAACTGACACAAAAAAGATCAAATCTCAGTCCATTCTCTGCTGGTCACCACTTTCTGTGGGGAGATCATGAATGTGCTCCCATATGGAGTGCCTCACAGCACATGACAGAGCTTTGGGGGCTCCTGCTCCCAGGTGTCTGAGGGCCCAAAAAAAGGCTCTCAGGTCCAAGGGAACAAGCTGGGAGTGGTGGCTGTGCTGGCAGAGACTGAAATGGCGCTTCTTGGGGTGGCAGGGGATGATGGCAGTGGAGGGACAGGCCGGGCTGCCACCAGGTGCGCTGACGCTGGCCAGGCCCCTCTGCACAGGTTGTCCCCCAGGACCATGCTGAACGTGCTGCTGCTGTGCTGTGGGCTGCTGCAGGGGATCCAGGCTGTGCTGGATCTCAGGACTGCTGACCTGAGCTGTGGCCACGTGCAGAAGGCGAGCGGCGGGCTGGAGCGGGTGGACAGAGCCCGCCAGGCCAGCCTGCAGCGCAAGGGCAAGGAGGCGTCTGCGGAGCCGGCAGGTGAGTCCTGAGCCCTGCTCCTCACTGAGCCCACCCAGCGCCCCAAAACTGAACTGGGCATCCCCTTAAAGCAGCACAGCTTCTCCTGGCCCTGGCTAGTGACAGCAGCCTGGCAGCCCACAGGGAGTGGGGTCTTTTTTGTGGGGGGGACCCACGAACAAAGGGAGAAGAATCAGAGCTGACCCTCCAGCAGCCTCCTTGTGCAGTCTCTCTGTATCTTGCAGGAGCTCTCCCAAGGCTGGGGTTTGAGCAGATGGCCCTGGGGGTCCAAGAAGCTGATGGTGACCTTGTGCAGAGAGGCAGCCTGCTGGAACCACAGGTATGGCTCCCTGAGCTTTCTTACAGACACCCTAAGAGTGGGGTGGCCTCAGGCCACAGCAGCCTGTGAACACAGTATTCTCTGTGTCCCTGGGGCTGGGGGTTTGGAGCCAGCACGGTGCTGCCTGGGATGGGACTGTCCATCACCTGAGGAGCTGGGATGAGCTGAGGCTGCTCAGACCTGCGAGGGGCTCCAGCACTCAAAGGAGAGTGGTCCAAGCCTGTGCTCCTGTAATCCATTTAATTAAGCTCAAGTGTAGCCCAGGAAGCCTCTGCAGAGCAAGAGCTCGCTGGGCAGTGCCCTGTGGTTGCCTGGCTCAGCCCTGGTGGCTCTGTTTGGGCAGAAGACACAGCACCATTTTCTAAAGTCCAAGCTGGGCTTCAAAATAAATGTGTGCAGAAAGGCCTTGAGACACCGTGGATGAGGCACCAATGCCTGTAGAGAGTCCACAGTGCTCAGCAGTGATTTCCAACAGAAAATGGAGCCTGGAGTTGAACACAAAAGAAGCCTCCGCAATGCCAAGTTTCAGCAGTCACTCTTGGCTCTCTCCCACACAGTTCTATATTGCTGGCACAGTGGTCCAGGACCAGCTCTTGCCCTCCTCTTCCTCCTCTCTCCCCTGCAGGCATCATCCACAGAGCTGCAAGCCGAGGGCCGTGAGGAGCGCTCCCCCCGCCGCTGTGTCCGCCTGCTGGAGTCCTGCCTGGGCCACCAGATCCCCTGCTGCGACCCCTGTGCCACCTGCTACTGCCGCTTCTTCAACGCCTTTTGCTACTGCAGGAAAATCAGCACCACCTTCCCCTGCGGCAAGAACTAGCGCCCCAGGGGCTGCCAGCTGCCCGCCCCTGCGTGTGCCTCCTGCTCTGCAGCTCCAATAAACCAGCCCTTCGCAAAAGCCTCTGCAGAGTGGGGATGGTGTGACGGGCTCTCGGGGGGTGGCAGCAAGGTGAGGGTGGGCTGTGCACGGCTGGGCAGTGTCCACACGTCCTCATCAAACCACATGTGCCTTTCCTGCGTCCTTTAGTGCTGTTTCAGCAGTAGGGCTACCCCAGGTGATGTTCTGGCTATGCTGCTGTTACCCACAAAATCAAGTTTGTTCCTTGCTGTGCACCAAGCTGATAATGACACACTTCACAGAGACATGGATTGTTCATTTCAGAGCTGCCCCAGCCTGAGTGCTCAGTGCTGTTCCACAAATCCAGCACACCCCACCAGACTTTCTGTGCCATTATTTACACAGAGAACTTCAGTGTTAGTGACTTCACAAGGACAGCCCCTCTATTAAGATTGGTTAGTAATTTCCATAGGAATCATGCAACTTAATCCAGGTAACTTCTACTCATGCTCAGGGGAAGGACCTTCAGCTCTGGATATTTTTGACCCTGCAGGTGTGATTTTTGGTGTTACAATGCAGATAGTTCAGCTCTAGGATACATGGACCTCGAGTATTTCACTAGGTTTACAATGTACCTGTAGCCATACATCACCATCTTGACTTATTGCATCCTTAAAGCTTGCTCTGGGATATTCTTGAGTGACGGGTGCTGGCTGCTGCCTGTTCTACTGATTAAGTCTCCTTCCTGATTAGGGTTGAAAGTACACAGAGGTCTTGTATCAAAAACCATCTTGCCTTAATATAACGTTGACATATCCCACATTTTGCAACGCCTTTACATCAAACAAAACTATTTTATTTTTTCCAGAGCAGCTCCTGGAAAAGCCCTTTAACTGGCTAGGTATTTCCCGACTAGTAGAAGCGGTGTCTCGGCAGCAGGCGACACTGCCAACTTTACTTGCGTATTTCCCTTGTGCCTATAGCGCTCACGGCGGCTTAGGCGGAGCGAAGGGGAGGCTCACACCGGGCGCGGTGCAGCCGGAGCAGGGGCTCACGGCGGGCAGGGGCTCATGGCGGCCGCCATCCCCTCAGGCCGCTCCCGCCCCGCGATGGCTGCCGGGAAGGGGCCGCGGCCACGTGAGGCGGCCGGTCACGTGAGGCGGCGGGCGGTAGCGCTGCCTGTGCCGCCGCTGCCGCCATGTCGTGTTTCCCGGAGCTCTATTTCAACGTGGATAACGGCTACCTGGAGGGGCTGGTGCGCGGCTTTAAGGCGGGGATACTCCGGCAAGGCGACTACGTGAACCTGGTGCAGTGTGAGAGCCTGGAGGGTGAGTAGCGGTGGAGGCCTGAGGCAAGCGGAGACAGCCCCCTCCCCCCCTCCCCGCTATCCTGAGGGGAATGTTCGGGCTGAGGGGAGATGGTGGGGGGCTGTGGGGGGACGAGGGGAGGGAAGGAGCTGTCTGGCAGTGGGGAAGAGATCCGATAGCGGCGTTTATAAGGAGCTGTTCCCTCTTTACCCCATGGCTGGTCGGTGCTCCGTCCTGGCCCCTCACCCCGCTCAGCTGACTCAGTTTCCCGGTCAGCCCGGCCGTGTGATTGCACAGCTGCTGCAGTGCTGGGAGGGAACTTGGGCTCCTGCTGCTTCCTTGAGGTGGCCGTGTAGCTGCACCCTGCGGGTTTTGGGAGCCTGGTGGGTTTTGACAGGCCTTGCTGGTGAGACGTTTGTGCCTTCGCTCCTTAAAGGGCAGGAAGCCTTTTAAGGCCTGAAACAAGGTTGTTGGTATTACCTAAGATCCCTGATATCCATGATTAGTGTTTAAGGACATCAGGTCAGCTAGGAAAGTACCTGCTGTTATTGAAAGATCACTAGTGGGAAAAAATCTAGTGCACATCTGAGTAAATTCACCAGTGAATTATCTGTTGCCTCTGATTTGGTATTCTCTTTTGAGGCTAATTCTGATTTCCAGCCATCATCTTTTTTTCTAGATCACTGTGCACAAACTTGCAGAACTGTGAGGGTTTCTTTTTTAACTATGGAGGTGATGAAACACTGGCACAGGTTGCTCAGAGAGGTGGTGGATGCCCCATTATTGAAAGCATTCAAGGCCAGGTTGAATGGAGCTCTAAACAACCTGGTCTAGCTGAAGATATCCCTGCTCATTGCAGGCACTTGGACTGCATGGCCTTTGAAGGTCCCTTCCAACCCAAACTATTCTGCAGTTCTATCATCACCTGTGGTCAGCTCATCATCTTAATTAGTTGGTGCTAAACTGTTCCTCTGATCAGTGACCTGCTTGGCAGTTTTCACTCTTTGGTGTACAGAACCTGGACCACAAATCACAAAGATTAAAACCAGGCCTGTCTTGATATAAACTAGAAACACACATATCAAAATATGATGGTTGTTTTGATCAGTGGAACTATAATTATTGGCTCATTCTTTCTTTAAAAAAAAATTAAGTGTCAGTTTTATGTAGACAATCATTGCTGAGTGGTTAATTGGCATTGACACTTTAGATGAATCCCTGGCCTGCTGAACCCTGGATGTAGGTTACCTGGAGTGAGCAGCTCCAGGTAATAATAGAATGGAACAGTGTTTGGCCCAGTCTCTACCTTAAAAATCCCCAGTATATTTTTACTTAGGACAGAATCTCTTTTTCCACTTTTCTTTTTTTTTCCAGCTCTTTGCTTGCAGCAGTCACTGTCGTTCCTGGTGTGGAGCCCAGGGCCTGGAATAGAGCAGTGGGAGTGACTTCTGCTCTCCTGGTAGTCACAAGTCTCAGCATGCTCTGAACTGTAACTTTTTCACCTTTCCTGCAGATAACTTCCTCTTTGGAGTTCTTCTGTACTTGGAGCTTCTCTTTTCTCTCTGTTTCTCAGTTTCTGAACCAAGCTGTGTGGTTCTCCCTTGGAGTGGAGCTGGCTGTGTTTGGAATGAGTCACGTTCCCATATGTTTGCCATGGCATTGTTGCTGTTCTGTCCCCAGCAGCTCTGTGTGGTGGCAGCTGCTGTGCTCTTGGTCACGCTTCACTCAGGACCTGGAGGCTCTTCCAAATTCACTGCCTGTCTTGTTACTCCTTCCCTTGGCTCACCATGCCCTTTTGGAGAGGGATTTTTCTTCAAAGGAGCATTGTTCTTTATTACTTACATAGGTCTCTGGTCAAACAATTTCTTTCCTCTGTCCTTTTAGTGCTGATTTTCACATTTCAGTATTTGTTTTCTGTGTTCTACTGACTGTTAACAGATGCACATCTGCCCTAAATCCAGGCAGTGGCTGATGTATTAGCAGCCAAAATAAGTACTGGGCCATAAATTACTGATACATTCTCCTCTTCTCTCTGTTTAGTCTTTGCTGCTGCCTCTCAGATGTCTGGCTCTACAGTTGGTCCCAGTCCTGGAGCAAGTGTTTGCCCTGGCCATATAGAAAGCCTGAAGGACCGAGGCTGTTCTGGGTCTGGCCCTGAGAATTGGGTATCTGGCTGCTTGGAGGATGTTGTGCTTCCAGGTCTGAAATGCTGCTCCCTCTGGTGTGCCCAGATCAGTGTGGAAGCATAAAGGGATTGACTTGTCTGCTTCAGGACTTAGGCTGGCAGTTTAGTGCTGCTGGCAGGGAGGAAATCATGCTTTTCTGCATGATCCCCTGTTGTCTCTGCTTGTCTGATCACAAGGTAATCTGGTCCAAGCTCTCCATTGTTGAGCTAGGAACAGAGAGCCAAATGGGCTGTCTGTGGTCAGGCAGGCTCCTGAGCTGGCCCTAAGAAGTGCAGAAAAGCATGGATTGAGGGTGTGTGTGTGAGAGCTGATTTGATTTAAGCTTTCTCTTAAATCCTGTAGCAATAACATGTTTAATGCCTTCTCTTAGCTCCAAAAGTCCTGGTGCTCTGGTTGTTCCTCAGCCGAGGCCCTGTGCAGCAGCAGTCATGGGCTGGGAGCGTTTGGAACCTCCCTGGTGGTCGCTGCTGTATCCAGTTCCTGCTTCTGACACAAGGTGTCAGTGAAGGACCTGGAGCTGCTTTCCCCTGCTCCCGTGCTGTGAGCGTGGATCTGTGCTTAACTGGAATCTGTCTGGGGCAACCAAACTTAGGAGTCACCCAGATTTCTACTGTCAGAAGATTGGTGAGACATCTACAGCTCTTCAAGCTGTGGTGGCCTGTCAGGGGTCTGATGTTCTGTCAGGAGAATGAAAAGCTGTTGATGCAGTTGAGCAGTGGGGATGCTTTTAAGCAGCAGAGTTCAGTCTGGGACTGGAATGTTGGTTATAACTGGCTTTACTGTTGGTCTGCAAAGAGCATGCAGAGCCCAAGAAGTGCACAAAAGCACCCTGAACCAGGAGTGTCTTTACCCTTAGGTCAGTGTTCATGAGCATCCTATTGCTACTACTACTTCTTGCTTCCACCGCAGCAGTGTAGAGAGCTGCTTTCTTTCTGACTTGTGTTGTAGAGGTGATTGGTGGGTGAAATCCAGCAGCAGGATGTGTCACCTTCTAGCTAGGTGATGAGGCTGAGGAGTGGCAAGGAGTTGGCTCAAGCTTGTGGGCCTCTTTTGGGAGAGGCCTTCTGGAAACTGCATCTCAGCACCACCGCTCTGTGGGTGTCTGTGCCTCTGTCCATGCAGCTGGCACAGCTGGGATACCCTGTAAACAGTGGTGTGCACTTGGAGGAGTGGGATCTGTCCATGGAGTTTGTCTTCTGTACACCAGGCTGTGTGCAGTGTGGGCTTTTGTTTTCATTGTCTCAAGGATCTTTTTTCTCCCCTGCAGGCTGCATTGCTTTGAGGTGTTCAGCACATCTCCTTTCATGAGAGAAGAGCAAGGGAGGCTGTGCTACCTGTCTCTTTTTTTTTTTATCACTGTGGCCCTAGAGTTTAGGCCCCAGGAAGGCTGGAGTGAGGCTTCTCTTTCAGCCTCACCACATGGGCAGTGTGTCCTCTCTTGTGTGAGGGTGTTGCAGAGCTCCAGACTGACTCCAAGAGTGCTTTTGGT